TAGAACGGTAGAACTGTTCCTTGTCTGAACTACTGTAGAACAGTAGAACTATTCCTTGTCTGTAGAACGGTAGAACTGTTCCTTGTCTGAACTACTGTAGAACAGTAGAACTGTTCCTTGTCTGAACTACTGTAGAACAGTGGAACTGTTCCTTGTCTGTAGAACGGTAGAACTGTTCCTTGTCTGAACTACTGTAGAACAGTAGAACTGTTCCTTGTCTGAACTACTGTAGAACAGTGGAACTGTTCCTTGTCTGAACTACAGTGGAACTGTTCCTTGTCTGAACTACTGTAGAACAGTAGAACTGTTCCTTGTCTGAACTACTGTAGAACAGTAGAACTGTTCCTTGTCTGAACTACTGTAGAACGGTAGAACTGTTCCTTGTCTGAACTACTGTAGAACGGTAGAACTGTTCCTTGTCTGAACTAAGTTCTACAGACAAGGAACAGTTCTGCCGTTCTACAGTAGTTCAGACAAAGAACAGTTCTACTGTCTACAGTAGTTCAGACAAGGAACAGTTCTACTGTTCTACAGGGTAGAACTGTTCCTTGTCTGAACTACTGTAGAACAGTAGAACTGTTCCTTGTCTGAACTATAGTAGAACAAGCCCCTGTTTAAGCTTTTATATCATAAAGCATGTTCCACAAGCCGTAAATGATAAGTTGGTGTTTAGAATTATAGCACCTTGTACAATATTTTTCGAATCTGAGATTTTTACAAGTATTAAAAAAAAAGATTAACATTAGGTTTATAAGCTTAAATTTAACGACACAAAATAGTTTTTACTTACAATAACCGTTCCGTCAGTGAAAAGTTTACGAACTTACAAAGGTAAAGGCCCGGCATGGCCAGGTGGTTAGGGCGCTCTGAGGGTCGCGGGTTCGAATCCCCGTCACACCCAAACATGCTCACCCTTTCAGCCGTGGGGGCGTTATAACGTGATGGTCAATCCCACTATTCGTTGGTAAAAGAGTAGCCCAAGAGTTGGCGGTGGGTGGTGATGACTAGCTGCCTTCCCTCTAGCCTTACACTGCTAAATTAAGGACGGCTAGCGCAGATAGCCCTGGTGTAGCTTTGCGCGAAATTAACAACAAAAAAAAAGAAAAAAAATCGTAAATGTCTACGCACACGTCCTACACCTGTAATTTGTTTCTAATCCGAATGGGGTAGGATAATAAACAACCACGTGACACGCGATATATTGTTTGTTTGTAAGTAAGCACAAATTACACAATGGCCTATCTGTGCTAGCCCACCACGGGTATCAAAACCCGGTTTCTAGCGTAGTAAGTCCGCAGACGTGCCGCTGTGGGGGAGCGACAAACGATATATATATATCAGATTTTTTGTTTTTCCAAATATGGTAAGAAAGCAAACAACCACGTGAAAGCATTTTTAAGAATTTGAAAAATGTAAACATACTTTGAAAGTATCAATGAATGTTTGAAGTTTGTTAGTAAATAATTAATAATTATTGATCCAGTAATGTTTTAAATATTTATTTACATACGTTACTTTATGAGCTGAAATCTCTTTCTTCTTTCTCTCGACCCCTGGGAAGACAAAATGTGACCATCGAAACGTCGATGTGGTATTTTTTCAGTTGGTGCCCCCCAGTGGTACAATGGTATGTCTTCGGACGTACAACGCTAGAAACCGAGTTTCGATACCCGTGGTGGGCAGAGCACAGATAGCCCATTGTGTAGCTTTGTGCTTAATTTACAAACAAACAAACAGTTGGTGAGTTCAATATACATGCCCCCCCCAGTGGCACAGCGGTATGTCTGCGGACTTACAACGCTAGAAACTGGGTTTCGATACCCGTGGAGGGCAGAGCACAGATAGCCCTTGTGTAGCTTTGTGCATAATTAAAAACAAACAAATCAATATACATATATGTTGAATTTTCTTGCCGCAGTTTTAAGTCTTGTTAAGTTTCAAACATTTTAAATATTATTTTCTCTCCGTCCACAGGCCGGATGTGGCCTAGTAGTTTGCGTGACGGGCTGCGTATTTGAAGGCCCAAAGTTCACCCTGAGACACCGCTGAACATTCTTCGTAATTTCAGTCGCGGGTGCTTTATAGGGGTTATAGTCAATCCTGTTGTCCAGAACAAATAATTTTCGGTGTGCTCCGAACTGGCTGCCAAACTTCACATCAATAGTTAAAAATTAGGGACGACTATAGCTGAACTCTGACCACGCCATATTTTTACCCATGTGTATCTGCGGTGTCGCTCAGGTTGAAAACAACAACCACATAGAAACTATCTTTTACTATTCCCTCGCACGTAACAACAAAACAACAGTACTTACGTGCAATGTTAAATCAATCAATCAAATTTAAATAATAAACATAATTACTTAAAATTATTACTTGTGTTAAAAATTAACCCTCCTATTACGCTTCGGGTCTGTTTGACTCGTTACTGCTTTCCATGATGTTATGACGCAATTACATATGTATATATTTGGGTTTATTATAACGAGGGTTTACACTGATGTCTAATATTTAACACACTAGATTAAAAGGTGTAACCAGAAAAAAAAATCATAATTTATTGATTCAAGGCTTTTTCACTTTGTTTTACATTGCGTCGGGCCAATATGACCTGGAAAATAAAACTCGTACCCTCAACATAATACGAAGTTTTTTTTTTGTATTTAGTTATAATTGATGAAGGTTTTAGGTGGTATAGATTTTACATAAATATAAGAGACAACAACTATAACCGCGCGTGCATTTGACATAGAAAATGATCAATGTTTTGTGAGCGACCAAATGTTGCCTGCCTTATTGATTCATGGATTGACAGGTCTGTGGTGTATAAAGTGTATGTTATTGGTAAAAGTTACACCTTGCTATGTAATTCATAAATTTTGAAACAACAGAGTTGAACTCGCCCTCCAGGGTGTTTAAAAGTTGATCAAACAAAACTACACATAAGCGGGGATATTTGTTAATAACTCTTAATTCAATTTTCCTTGGGGTGAGTGGATAAGGCTCTGATATAATTTAATTTTTTATGTCGGGGCTTGTGAGGAAGTTATTTTTTTATAGTTTTGTTGTTGTTTTTTCTGTTGGGACTTGGGGCAAAGATGTTTCTCTGATACGAGTACGTATACTTTCTCTTCTTTTTTTTTGGGGGGGGGGGAGGAGGAGGAGGAGAGCGTGTATAAAGAGAAAATATTCTGAAACAGTTACTGTCATCTTTTTTTTGGAATATGTTACAAAAGGTTATATTTGTTAATTTTGTGTTTTTTTTATGTTTTATAGAGAAATTCCGATTCAAATTTTGAAAAGATATTCTCAACAAATTTTAATCAGGTTATCTATTTTTTCTATGTTATTGTCTATGTATCTACTTCTAACAGATGAACTATCTGTCTCACCTATTACGTTAAGTATCTAACAGACTAAATCTCTCTATCTTTTTGTCTATGCGTATGCCACGGGTTTACTGACTGTCAATGTATCTGTCTTTCTGACAGGTTAATTGTTTCTCTTTGTCTTTTTATTTGTGTATGTGTCGCAGGTTTACTGTCTGTCTTTTATTTCTTTTTAATAGATTAACTCTTTTATTGTCTATCTAGTTATCTTTTGTTTTCACGGGCTCACTGTCTCAACTTGTCCATGTGACAGTATGGCCATCCAACTGATAATAAATCTTTGGTAACAAGATCGATACGATATCTCCCAAAATCTCTTAAGAGCTGAAATTAACACGAGTCACTTCTCGACGCACTTGGATCCGAGTAAAATATAATAATGTCATATTAAACTTCTCTCTTTCTCTACGTCTGTCTATGTATCATAATGACGCGATTTTCACTCGTATCAAACCAACTTAAAGACCGAAGCTTGGTAGAATAACTTTGTCACCTCATTCCGGTATGGTTACTTTACAGATGCAGAAGTCAGAAGCACACGCACCCCTTACCGCAAACCAGTGTCATCATCTGTTTCCACAATGAAGCTTGGAGCGTCCTCTTGCGGACAGTTCATAGTGTTTTGAAGAGGTCACCGCCCGAATTGCTGAAGGAAGTAGTGCTAGTGGACGATTTCTCGGACTTACGTAAGCTTAAATTAAGACTCTTCGTATTCGGTATTATAATTTAAACAGTAATCTTTAGATTCTGCAGAACTGCGCCCACGTATGAACAATATTGTGCATTATTTTCAAGAAATTAGACAAATATTCAAGAAAATAATAAAGATACGCATTGAAAAATGTTATATTGTTAATGTTTTACAAACGTATACACACACGTTTCACATGCTGGTTTACACACACAAACTTTTAAGTATTTTTCTTTAACAGATTTTTGAAGCAAAATGTGAAGTTCCAAGTTATATTTGAAAACTTTAAATTCAAAATTTTGGCTACTAATTGTTGTTGCTGTTTTTCAGTAACTTACCATGCTGTAAATAAATAAAAATGTGATCGTTATGTTTATGACAAATTCTAGAAAAGCCACATACTATACAATATTAAGTACCTAAATAAACTATTTAGTTTTAACCAATTACTTCTCAAGATATCTATGTGAAGTGGTTCATTGCTGGTTTTATGGCCTGTTAGTTTACGATATCTGTGTGAGGTGGTTCATTGCTGGTTTTATGGCTTGTTTTAGTTTATCACGACATCTATGTCAGGTGGTACATTACTGGTTTCATGGCTTGTTTTAGTTTGTCACGACATCTATGTCAGGTGGTACATTACTGGTTTTATGGCTTGTTTTAGTGAAGCTATGATTATAAGCTAGCTACACGAAGAAGCTAGATTTATTAGACACATAAGTAAAGTTGTGCATACGAAGGTATGATACCAGTGTTGTAGATATCTCCGCTCTGAATGTTCCGCACATAATATAGCATACTGGATGTTAGAGTTATATACTGAGATATCTTAGATGTAGTGCAGGATGTTTGATGTACGTACTTGAGTGTAGTCATATGTCATTTTAGGAATGTGATAACGGTGTACAGTGTCTAAGTGATGACGTTTTGTTGTTATATGTCGAATAAATACGTCATCTTATACACCGTCTGTGCAAGGTGTCAGCTTATAGACGTGATAACGATGTATAGTCTCTACGTGATGATGTAACATTGTTTACTTTGGGTTATAAATCATCATGGCTTACATGATGTAACTTGTTTATCTTCAATTACAACTCAACATCTGTCTTTGAAATATTAATATTTTCTATTAATTGTTTAAATGAGTTAATTTTTGTTGGCTATCTGATTTAGCTGTTCTCACTGTTTTTACTTGGCTTGATGAGACCATTCTTGAACATGTATAGGAATATAGGAGCCAGTTTATTCGTCTCTTTTGTTATTTTATTTTGCCCCCAGTGGCTCAGCGGTAAGTCTTGAGAGCTTACACCGCCAAAACCTGGGTTTCGATACCCGTGGTGGGCACAGCACAGATAGTCCATTGTGTAGCTTTCTGTTTAACAAAGAAATAAATTAAACAAATCATCTTTTTTACGACATTTTTAAACATTACCGTATCTGAGGCGGTACAAAACTTCCATGCTCAGATCCCAACATGGCGTTGATAATAATCTAAATATGTTAATTTCGATTGTGATATGTGGCCTTAAACTGACTGGATTTCGTTATTCATTTATTTCTCGTTTTTAGTTTATGGATTGAATAATGACGTGACTCTTCGTATCTTCCAATTCTAGCTTAATTTTGCTCTTACAAAGGAGAAAAATACTCCCCTTTTTTTCACACGGTAGACATACTTAAATTTAAAGATTCAAAATGTCATGTTATATATTATCATTTATTAATTGTTAAGTTAAATACAAAGTTTATTAAATCTAGGTATATATATACTATACGTTTTACTGCCCCCCAGTGGCA